AGAGATTAGGTATGCCATGTGGTCTGATGTCAACAGGCTTTAGGCCAACCAAAATCTAGAATTTTGGCACAGATGTTGAGCTTCCACTTTAATGTTTCTGGAGCGAGGGCTGATGATAATTATTCTGGCTTTATGTGTTGGGCCTTAGGAATAGTTTCCATGTTGGCCTCTCTGTATCTCCCTTTGAAGTTGTTTGGAATGATCTGTCAAATTTCCCCATCAGCACATTAAAATTGAAATAACGATAAAAAAAGTGAGTGCATAGTTTTAACCCACTGGATACTGAATGTCCCTGGAATGCTGCTACAAGGTGACCTCTTTCAACTGTTGTTTAAAGTACTAAGCTCAGAACTGGGGGCTCATAGACAGTCTCAGCAATGAGACGGACTTAATTCCAGAAGGAAAACCTTGAATAATACTGCATCTGATGAACTGATGAGGCAAGAGCCAGAAACAGCAGCACTTGTCTGTGCTTGCTGGATTTTAACAAAGGCTGGTCCTGGAGATCTGAAAGAACAGGTCAGGGATGGATTATCATGGAGAAAATCTATCGATGTAGTCCCTAGGACCGCAAGGGTGATGGTGAACCTAGGTGCCAGAGGTGGCATGCAGTGTCCTCTCTGACGGAACGTGAGCCATTGTCCCAGTTCAGTTGTGCCACGCATGTGTGGCTCCGGCTGGCCAGCTGGTCTTCGTGTATCTGCTGCACATGTGTATGGGGGGGTGGGTTAGGGCTGCATACACATGCATGAGGGGTGAGGCATGTGTGAAGGGGGTCACATGCGCATGCGTGGAGCACATGCACAGGGGCCATGCATGCATGGGGTGGGATGCATGCACAGGGGCGTACACACATGCATTTGCGCACGCGTGCACAAATGCTTTGGGTACTCAGGAAAAGGTTAGCCCTCACTGCCCTAGGAGTTGAAAGCAATTTGATGCCGCATAATCAATCAATCCATTGATAAAATACAAGAAAGAAAGAAAGAAACAAACAAAGAAAGAGAGAGAGAGAGAGAGAGAGAGAGAGAGAGAGAGAGAGAGAGAGAGAGAGAGAGAGAG